ACTTGGTACTTGACGTAAAGAAGAGTGGTCCCGTCTTGGTATAATTGGTCTTGGATTACACAGTACCTAAATATAGCAAGGCAGACCCGTCCGTTGCACACCTACACACGTCAACACACAGTGCGGCTGTGCTTAGACGCAGCGAATGTGCCTCGCGCTCGCTGAGACACAGGCGCCAACCCACAGTGCGGCTGTGCTGACACGCACATGGCGTGCGCCAGGCGAGCTACAGGTCAGACCTACAGAGCCACTCTGGGACCGGTCTTACACTCTAACATAGAAGCAACAGAAATGTGGTTTCTTAGGAGACTGCTGAGGATAGTGTGGAAGAAAAAGAATTTATCAAATGAGGTAGTGCTTGATGAAGCCCACGTGGGACGCTCACTGTTAAAAACAATCAAAAAAACGTCAAATGCCGTTTTTGGGACACCTGACCAGACTTAAAGGTCTTGAACATCTAGCTCTCACTGGCAAAATTGAGGGCAAACAAGGCAGGTGTAGACCCACAGCAACATATGTAGGGAACCTAAACAAATGAGTAAGGGGGAAAGATCAGGGAAACGAAGCTTTTTTTAAAGAGCATCCGAGCAAAGAAAGGAACGGAGGACCATGATCACCGATGTCTGTCGCAGATCTGCAACTGGATTATGATGAAGGGGCCGAACTTCACTAATCAGCTGACCACTGAACAACTGAAATGTCGTATTTCTTCAACGGCTGTACCTATCCTAACCCATCTTTCTTTCCATCCTTCCACATCCAGCGACCCCATGTGCCGGCAACCCGTGCCAAAATGGCGGGAACTGTTCTGTGTTTGGTGACAGCGCGCTGTGTGCATGTATGTCCGGATTTGTTGGGGAGTTCTGTGAAACAGGTCTGTATCTGGGTCACTTTGGTCATTGCTGTTGGTGTTGTTTTTGTTTTTATTTATAGAACAGCTATTTACAAAACAGTTATTTATAGAGCAGTTATTTATACAACAGTTGTTTACATAACAGTTACTTAAAGAACAGTTGTTTACATAACAGTTACTTGAAGAAATGTTGTTTACATAACAGCAAAGTTACTTATAGAACAGTTGTTTACATAACAGCAAAGTTACTTATAGAACAGTTATTTATAGAACAGGTATGTTCATAAAAGAATCATTTACTTAACAGTTATTATTTATAGAACAGTTGTTAACAAAACAGCTACTTATAGAACAGTTGTTTACATAACAGTTATTTATAGAACAGTTGTTTACATAACAGTTATTTATAGAACACTTATTTATAGAACACTTGTTTACAAAACAGTTGATTAGAAAACAGTTATTTGTAGAACAACTATCTATATAGAATAGTTACTTATAAAACAGTTGTTTACAGAACAGTTACTTATAGAACAGATATTTCTAGAACAACTATTTCTAGAACAGTTATTTTTAGAACAGATATCTCTAGAACAGCTATTTACAGAACAGTTAATTATAGAACAGATATTTCTAGAACAACTATTTCTAGAACAGTTATTTTTAGAACAGATATCTCTAGAACAGCTATTTACAGAACAGTTAATTATAGAACAGATATTTCTAGAACAACTATTTCTAGAACAGTTATTT